CCTCGGGCGGGCGGGCGCGCGCAGGAACATGGCGGGGCCGGGCGGGAGCAGCGCTGGAGGCCGCGGCGTTGTGGTAAATGCGGAGCGCGGCCCGGCCCGCCCCGGCCGCTCGCCCCCCCGCCGGCCGCGGTTCCTCCCCGCTCCCCGGACCCGTTTCCCCCACTGCTCTCCGGCGCTTTGTGCTGAACCTCCACGCCCTCCCCTCCCCTCCCCTCCCCTTCCCTTCCCTTCCCCCGCTCGCTCCGGGCCCCCCGGCCGGCGCTTGGGCCGCGTCCCCTCACCCTGCGCCGGTCCCGCGGCGGCTGCCGAAGGGGAACGGGCGTTTTTGGCTTCCGCCGTGAAAACACGGTCCGGAATCACCCGAGCGGCTCCTGTGGCCGTGGCTGTGCTTCAGCAGGCTCCTTGAGTTACGGGGATGAGAATCCCCAGGGATCCCGAGGTGCCTTTCTCCCACCGGAGCTCTGAGAGGCGCCTGGGGGTCTGCGGGCGCCGTGAAAGCAGGTTGGGCTGCCCGTGTTCACCGGGTTGGGGAACAGACCGAACCTTGGCAGTGCGTTTGGAGTGCCTGTGGGGATGGATAAATGATTAAAAAATGAATGAATGAATGTGAACCAGATTCTCCTGTGAAGCGAATGTCATCACTGCCAGCACATTAGGTATGTTCTTATTTTAATGTGGCATTAGGATTTTAACAGAAAATCCATGGGGCAGTTGCCCAGATCATGATCCAGTGTAGGCAGTGGTCACAYTGTCCACTCCATCCCCCTTCTGAAGGACCCATCTCAGTGTGTTCAAGTTCTGGTGAACACACCACACGTCAGCCACCTCTCCTGACACCTATGCAATGAATGACATTCCTAAAGGGGGTGACTGTGTATATGGCTAAAGCAACATGAGGTTATTGCGGAGAAGGACGTGAATGTGCATAACCATGTTCTGCTGTACTGATTTATTTTTTTTTGCTCAACCCCCCAAAAACCCAACCAGCTGTAAGTCCAGTGCAGCATCATTTAAGTTACAGAAGCTGGACTTAGGTTGATGCTCGATTTGAGCTGAAGCCTGTGTTCAAACCTACCTGTGCTCACTTCGCCAGACAACAAAACCAGCAACATTCTTCCAAAGGTGTTGCCAGTCTTCAGCTGAATGTCTTCAGCTTCTTTCTTAGGCCTCAGCAGAACACTTTTGGGTATTGCCATGTATTTGTATTCCTGTTTATATCCATTCACATCAACTTTTTAAAGAGTTGCTGAAGAAGATGTGCTGGRCTATTCAAACATGCAAAGCCTGGACTTTAAAATTAGGTCTTTCTTTCACTGTAGGACTTTTTTTACACAYAATGGTGCTGATGTATTTAGTATATGTGTTTACTTATCCAGTTGAATACTGCTTTTTTTTCTGAAACAATCAGATTTTTTTCCTTCATATTTTCAAGGGCTTTTTAAATTCTCAAACAGAAAGTCATAAGATTTTACAGTTACTTGTAAATTGTCTTACARCATAACACTGTGAATAGCTTTAGGGTAAATGAGGATTTCTAAGCCTTGTTGATGGAAAGTGCCTGTTCAAAAGAAAGAAGAATGTTAGACTATTGTATCAGGCAAATAATGAATTTGGAAGTAAATGTGAATTTCATCGTATTTATCAAATGCCAGCAAGCATTTTAAAACAAGAACTTTATTATTATTGTGAAGTTGTGCAGTTTATGTTTTGCTTTGCTAGAGAACTAGAAGGATAAATGGGAGAATCAAAATTTCATCATGATCCCATTTCCTAAAGGACATATTGTAACCTATGTAAAAGTAATTGGTTAGTATGAATTCTGGAGCAGTTTCCATCTATCTAATTTATCTTCTGCATTGCACTAAAACCATGCAATTTGACAAGAATGCAGAAATAAGTAACCTTGGCTAGGTGTTGATAGTGGGTGTTAGCAATACTTAATGAAATTGTTTCAGTTTGCATTAAAATACTTTTGGACGGATCATTCTTTGSTACAAAATGTTTAAAAAGTTTCAGCCCCCACTATGCCCTGAAAAAGTAGATAGGAAAAGAGTCTTTCCAGGCCCACTGCGGCAATGTTTTTGGAGCAAGATTTGCCTCTAATTAAAAACCTTGCCAAGGAGCATATTTATAAYCTCCTGTTTCTATGGAAATCAGGAACACAACTAAGTAACTTTTTTTCTTTTGTGTAGTTTCAAGGCTTGTGCAAGTCAGGGAAAAGCTTTCATTGATTCCAATTGTCTCCCAGTCATGCCCTTTATGGGCAAATGTTCAGTAGCAGTTGCCAACGAATAACTTTTTTTTGATGCAGAAATTGTTGGGTAGAGTTAAGAAAACATGYGGGTCAAGGTGTCTGTAGCTGTCAATGAATATGCAAAAAAAGCCCCCAARCAACCCAAAATCCACAAGGCACTACAGTGTTTGAGTGCAGTTTGAGGAAKGGCTGTCTGAATTAAAGAGCAGATGTGGAGAAACAGCTCAACATCAAATATGTTATGTTAGCCAAAATGTTTGTAAGAAACAGTTTATTGCTCTACTGTAAAATGGTAAGCAGAGATTAGTTTCAGTGATGGTGCTTTCAAGACTATCTGTAGCAAAAATTCTGTTGAGGCATGCACTGCACAAAGGCAAGTTTATCACCATTTCTTTTACTCAAGATTCATGCAGCCAAGCYGTAGAAAGACAATATGTGGCTTGAGGAATATGATTGTAAGGAAAACCTATTAAGTGCCACTTTTTGTCCTGAACCAGTATTGAAGCAAAACTTTGTAGTGATTTCAACATGCCTTGTGAACCTGCAGATCTTGTCTTTCATAAGGAAGAGGGATAATGTTTGTTTTGGAGTTTGCTCAGTTTTTGTGCTGATGATGTTGCATTTCATAGCTTTCTGAAGCCTTCAACTTTTGGCTAATTTTGACCTTCTTAATCTCTATTACCATTGTATACTGTGAGATCTAATCTCTTTTTCTGATACTTACAAAACAAATTTATATTAAGTGTGCAAAATATTTTTTTTGTAAATATGTGGATTTACAGACTAGTTTGATAGTTAGGCAAGATGCAAACCTTTTGTAATCACTTATCTTTGATGACACCTAAATTAAGAACCTCACCTTTACCAAGAAGTACTGTCTTCCACTAATTTGTACAGRTATCATGCATGAACCACATAAATTGTTCTCCATATCTACTGTTTCATCTGTAAAATATTTATTTAGGAGTTTTAAGTCATTCTAAACTGCAATTTTTATGCAGAATTTTATGACTTTTATTTCCACTCTCTGAACCTCTCACTGGAGAAGCCCTTCTTACTGGTAATATTACTCTTGCATTTTGWTTTTAGAAGTACTTTGAAACTTACTTTTGCCACTAGTTTAGTATTGAGTGTTTCCTTTGTCTATCTATTTGTTTGTAATTTCTGGCRAAATTTCCCATATTCTGTGAGCAAAAAATTATAGCAATTTGATTTCTAAGATAAACTGAGAAGTGAAACAATTAATGGGAAAAGTAAAATAGTAAATTATAACTGGAAGAAAGTAAGGCATACAATTAATACATACAATAGAGTGTACTAGAATGCTGATTTTGTATCAGATAATGTCAAACATCATGACGTTTTCTTGACAGTACTATTTGATATTCAGATTTCAGACAATTGGCCTGGATACAGTCTGGATTTGTTCACTTATCCTCAGCACTACTATGGAGATCTGGAATATGTGCTCATACCTCATGGCATTATTGTTGACAGGTATGTGTAGTTTGAATGTTACTGAATAAATTGTTTGGTCAGTAGGATTATCCTTTTTTATAAAGTCTGTCGTTCATATACAGCGTGTGTATAAATTTTTTCCTAAAATATTCTAAGTTAAAAACTTGGGTATTTTTATTTAGAAATTAAAATTACTACATTTTTATCTGTGCTGGTGTTCATACACTTTGAACATACAAAGTGGTCTTTGGAATTCTTGGAAATTTCAGCTCCAGACAATCTGAGGAACAGCATAAAAAAATGAAAATTCATCAAAGAAATGTTTCTTAATGAGAGGTTTTCCCCATTATTCTCAGGCTTGGTAAAAGTTGATAAAAGGCTGTTTTATTGCTCTTCGGTAAAGTAAGTGATCCTCATTCTTACAACACTAAAAAGAATTATATATTTGTGATCAAGCAAGATGATCTAATGTTTTTGTATCTTCTACTTCTCAAATCAAAAAATACTAATTTTTGCTCTATGGAATTTACTAGAGCATTAAAAATATAAAGATGTGGAAATGAAGCAATAGCTATTTCCCATACTTAGTATGTTATCTTCAGTCTAGAGCTTATTCTTCTCTGGTCCATGCACAGATTTCACTAAAGTTGAATCAATGTATTTATGTAATAATGAATGACATGGGATAAATGATAGAATTATTTAATACAGTTTATCCTGTCAACAAGTCCACTCTCATTGAAACTGCTAATCTAATTCAGAGTGCTATCAAAGAATTTTCCAGTGTAAATATTTACAGAATATAATACACTGAGTCATTTTTCCTCAAAACATCAAATGATATTGTTTCCTGTTGATATTACATTACATCTAGAAATATCCCAGTACCCTACTGTAGGTCTAGAAATGCTATCTGTAAGTTTAATTTTTATTATTTACATTTATTGTTAAGATTCATATTTATTATTTTTATCTTGGAAGTTTATGTAGCATTGCATGGCAGAAATGTGTATCATTTGTTTCCAGTCATCTGCCATATCGTGCTTGCAATGCAGAATTGTCAAAGAGAAGACAGGTTTGGGAACCCCACAATTCTGAGTTCACTGGAGCATTCACTCAATTATTTCCCTTTGTGTGACCTTGAACAAGTCACTGAAGCTCTTTGCACTCTTCTGCTGTATCAAACAGTGAGCTGTACAAAATAGTGATGATATACATTCTTTGTAAGCTTTTGACTGATGCTGTATTTCTTTCTAGTATTTATGCATATTTTTATTAAAATTGTAGGGATAGCATCTTCCAAAGCCAATCAGTGTGTGTCTTTTCTGTCTTTCACTTAATTTGTTGTTCCTTTGCTGTAACTAACATAACAAGTTAGGCGTTTGTACAGGTAYATTTTATACTGATAATTCCTATGAGGTAAAATGGAAGGCTAGCTCACATTCTTTTCTCCCAAGTCTCTGACACATTTAAGAGTCCAGCATATACTGAGATGTATAGCTCCAATTTGTATAGCTGAGGAATTTATGCATTTAAGGTTAACCAGACTCAAGTGCTTTGCATCATGCATGCATGCATCACTTTGCATCTGCCTTCTGTGAGCTGTATCCAAACCCAGTCAAGTGTTGGAATAGACTGTCCCAGAAGGTGGTGGAGCCACCATTCCTGGAGGTGTTCAAGAGATAACTGAACATGGCACTTACTGTTGTGGTCTAGCTGACATTGTGGTGATCAGTCAAGRGATGGACTCAATGATCTTGAATTTCTTTTCCAACCTACATGACTCTGTGATTCTGTGAAGTCAAGACACTTAAACAATGTCAGTCAAGCTTTATACTCACCACAGTGTTTGTTTGTAAAGTGTACCATCTGCATCTAATGTTATTTTTTCCTTATTTTTTTTTTTTTTCCCAGGACAGAACGACTGGCCAAAGATATTGTGCAAGACATTGGAGACAATGATATTGTGGTTCTCTGTGTCCTCAAAGGTGGCTACAAGTTCTGTGCTGATCTTGTGGAGCACATTAAAAATCTTAGCAGAAACTCAGAAAGGTTCATCTCCATGAAAGTYGATTTTGTTAGACTGAAAAGTTACCACGTAAGTCAACAACTGATTTATGTAGATTCTGRTTGAATGTTGTAATAAGTAGTTGACTTTTGCCTATGAGATCCCCACCTCCAATTATTAAAAAACTATGTGAAAAATACTGTTGTTTGAAAAACCTGTGAGGTTTTCTTTAAAAACTTTTATGCCTTATGCTGTGTAGGTAGTATGAATGAGGATATGAAGTATCCTTGAGCTGTTTTGTTTTTTTTTAGTCTGTCTTTTACTTCTGGGCAGAGAAATATTMAAATTTTGTTCATGTAAAGTGTCGGCATCCTGTTTGTTCTCAAAATTCTTTACTGTTCTGTCAAGTTAATTTCATGTTACTTCATTTTCCACCCCCACATAGTTTGGCATAACTCATAACTAAAAGATGATAAATCTATGTCTTCTTCTAAATATGTCTTCTAAATGTTTAATGCTAAGTAAATAAAGTTCTTTCATCTTCATAGCATGCAGTTTACATAGTAGCAAAATATACCACCAGATGATGATAGTGTTCTACAAGAAAATGAAACAAGCCATTGAATCAAACCAGTGTTGAAGTAATCATCMAGATCTCCTGTTATCTTCAGAGGAAATTATGCAATAATAATTCATTCTTGTCAGTGAGGATATGATAGGGAGATGACCATCCCTTTTTTAGAACCTGTAATTACAATTTCTTATGGTATAAGTTGTAAATTTATATTCTGCCTTRCAGTGCATGTTTCATAGTGAGGGAACATTTCTACAAGTAAGTTGTAGAAATGTCTGAGAAAGTATACTAAAGAAATGGAGTGATAATATGGTGTCTTGCAGAATTGTAACTTGCTATGTCCAGTAGTTCCCACAATAACTCTACACCCTTTCCACATGTTTGTTGGCTGGCATTTTCTTCTGACCTCACTGACTAAAAACTTCTTAAATTTCACAGATCCAGTCTAACTTTTTTCATTGTGAAAGAAAAGTGAATGAGAACCTTTTGCAGCCGTTTGGTTAGAATTTGGTCCTCGGACATCTGTGTCAAGAATTAGTTCTATGAAGCACATGTGAAATACTAATATTATATATTTTCTAGGTWTTCAACAGTATTACAGACATAATTATTAAATTAAATTATAATTTTTGTCTCACATAATGGCACATGGAAATTTTRCTTAATTTTTTTGCATAGTTATGATAGCACTTCAGTAATACTGCTGAGCAAATAATGGAATTACTTAAATTGGGTTTTATTTTGCATCTGGCATATAGGTAATGCACGTGCTTTTCCTATAGGGTTATCTCTTATCCATATGCAGATATCCTTGTTCTAAAATTTCTTTCCTTAGGGTCAAGTCTTACTAGCCATACTAACCCATAACAAATGAGTGGCGGGAGATGTGTGCTGCAAAAGTTTGGATATTTTCGTATCTTTAGCTTAGGAAATAATGTAAAAGCATRTTATGTTAAGCTGAAACAGCACTACAAATTTTATTATGCAAAGGTGCAATTACCAATAATAAATCCTAGATAATCTTAGCATTTAGCGGCTGTRCATATTTTGGGTCCTAGTCTCATGCGGTATGAGAAAGGTAGCACCTTCCCAAGAACTCATTTGAATCTGTTTTTTTTGAAAATATATTCTTTTTTATTATATGTACTTCCAAACAGGTGTTATGTACTTAGAGGCTGAAGCTGTYCCTGATTTAGTGCTTGGATTAGATTTGGATACCTGTCTGGTCTTGAGAGGCTGAATGACACTGCAGTAGAAATTTGAAATTACATTAATATTGGTATATTCAGTCCATGAGATATATATAAATGTAATGTTGACTAAAATACCAGTACCAATACCTGCCATCCTTTGCATCTTGAGTTTCTATTGTGTCCTGTGCAATTGCAGGTTTTGGAGAATGTTCCCTTGTCAACATAGCTGGGCTCAGAACACTTGAGAAATTTGCTGTGCCTAGTTTGAGTGACTCTTTATCCCAGCCTTATGTGAARCTCCCAAATCTCCCATTATAGTTTWTTCTGTAATAATGTATCTTTCTCAGTGTTTTACACTTTAAATAATTACAACTTTAGAGATAAGACTCTACTAAAAATCTTGGAGCATCACCAGTTCCACTCCTTTGCTTTCCTTTGTGTTTTCTGTTCCACTTTCTAGTAAGACTTATTGCTGCTCTCTTTTTGTCCCTTTTTCATTTATAGATACTGTTCTTCTCACATTATTTATCCTGCRTCCTTTTACTAACTGTTCTCTCTTTCTCTCCTGAAGGGAGTCCTGCTGCTCTCAATATGCTTCCTTCAGGCATGTGTCCCCTCCCCCTTCCAGCTGTTTATATCCAACAACTAATTTCAGCTCAAACKCATGGGATTTTTGTATTGTCTCATTCCATCTTCAATATTCAAAGGTTAGTTGATTTTTAGGGGTTGTAATTCAAAGTGTGATTTCTTGGTTTAATAGGATAGCAAAAATGGGCTGTAATTGTGATCCAGAGTCAGGTCTTGGTATCAGTGAAAGTACACTTTAATTACAAAGTATCAGTGGAAAATGTTGTACTTTGATGTTTTCCATACCATCATGATTACAGGAAAAGGAGATTGCAAATATGACCAGCTTTGTATGGCTCTTTGTTTTTCAAACCTGTCATAATATTCCAAAATTTAGACTTCTTAATTTATACTTAATTAGTACTTTGGGATCTGCTTTCATATTAAGTAGCTGAAAGCTGGGCATTTATCTTCTTTGTTTAATTTCTTCATGCAAATGAATTGATTAAAAAAAAAGAAAAAAAGCATAGTACATCTAGATTCTCTGAATATTAATAAGATGACTGGCTACTTGTACTTCCATAATCAGGATGGTTTTATCTGGTTTGCAAAATATTGTCATATGTGCCTGAACATGTTTACATTTTTGTGAGAAACTTTCCTGTATTTTACAAAGGGCAGATTAAAAGAAAGCTTCAAGATGTGTGTTAGAAAATACGATTTCAGAAGTAAACAGATAGGAAGCATCATGTAGAGTTAAGGATAAGAGTCAGGAAGTAAATGGAGAGGAAAATGAAATCCATTTTCCAGATGGAAATCTGAATGAGAAGCAGCAGCTCTGRGTTTTAAGAGGCAGAGAAGAGAAAACATACACTTTTTGGAATGAACTTGAAAGTAGCTAGKCAAGAAGAATAGTGGGTAGAGTAAGAAGCAGTAAAATAGTCCTTCTGTGAAGTATGATGACTRTATAGAAAGATGCAGGCCAAGTTTTAGGGGAAAACTCTGTATTCTGGAAACACTGACATGAGAACTGATAGAATTTGGCAATTTTTTAGATGCTAAGTTCTAAGATATTGGATTTTAATATAAGTCAGGAACAGTGGRATTGACTGCAGAGATTTTTTAATTTAAAACTTGATGAATAAAATTTACTGTACTCAATTTTTACTATACTGAATCTTCTCCTGGGTGATTATGCCTCCACAGGGAAACGGAGTTCTGAAGTTGAAAAGGGGTGAGAGTTTCAGATTGAAAGATTTYAAAATAATTTTCAGAAGCATGGTATGTTAAAGTAAAGGATGAAAAGTAATGGTAGAAGAAATTGAGTTGGGGAATGTCATCTAAGGAGAATAAGACCCTAGCAGAACAGATGCTGGATCAAATTCTGTAATGCATTTGTGATATTGATAACTTTAGGAGATTGAAGAGCTAATTAGGAAGAAATCAGAAGGAAGTGCAACAGAGGAATTAGGAAGATGTATTACTAGGGTGTATTGAATTAAATGATGGGACTAGACAAGAAAGAATATCTGAGGAAGGACCAAAACAGACAGTGAACAAAAGAATAGAAGGAAGTGGATGTCATGAAGAGAAGGGCTGAATAGGATATATTTGAGTAAAAAAACATACCATRAGAACTGTAGCAGAAGAGTAGACTGTTCATAAACAATAATTAGAGCTTTGTTCAGTGTGGAAGAGACAATTTAGGACAAGCTGAAAAGGTAAAGGTTGAATTACACTTTGAGACAGAAGAGGATGTTCTGGCTTAGCAAGTCTAATCCCCTACTAAGAGATGCAACAATATCACCTAATCCTGCTCCGTGGCTATGCCAAATGTGATCTTTAAGTCAAACCTCAATTTTGAAATGTAATTGGAAAAATTAAGAAGTAGAGAAAGTATGCAGACTTTTTGAGAAGTTCTCAGCAACATCTTGATACAGAAAMGGTAAAGGCATGTGAATTAACACTTCTTCAGTGGATAGATAATGGAAGCTAAAAAGGGAAGGAATCATAAGAGTCATTGTTGAAACTGATGGTGGGGACTAATGGAAGAGAGGAGAAACAACACACTTTTATTAGGCAGACCAGTGTGCTCTCTTCATGCATTGCTACCTGTTCTTGTGAAATGTTTAGTATTCCCATATGGTTATTCATAGATGTCTATCTAATTCTCTTAATTACTGTATTTTACTAAATAGGTATGATAGTAAAGCTTACATCTTGGGGAAGGGCAGGTGAATCTTGGTGGTATAACCTTTCTTCACTGAAAACAATGGAGAGGTAAACTAAGAATGAGATTGATACTTTTCCTGAAGTCTTTTGTGATTTCTTTGGTTGTACARGTGGACTAAAGTAGCAGAAGACCAACCATCTCTGTTATTTTAAATGGCATTATTATGACAAACTGTTATTTTGAATAACTTTGGAACCCCACCTGAAGTACTGCATCCTGCTCTGGAGTCCTCTATACAGCAAAGACATGGGTCTGGAGGGGGTCTGGAGAAGATTTGTATAGGCAATCATGGGTCTGGAGCACCTCTCCCAGGGGGACAGGCTGGCTCAGTTGGGGTTGTTCACCCTGGAGAGGGTTTTGGGGAGATCTTAAAGCAGCCAGCCAGTCCCTCAAAGGGGCCTTACAAGAAAGGTGAAGAGGGACATTTACAAGGCCATGGAACAATAGGACAAGGGAAAAGGCCTTTAAATTGAAAGAGGATAGGTTTAGACTAGATATAAGGGAGAATATTTTTTTATGATAA